CCTCCTCCTCCTATCTCTCTCTCTCTCTTTATGCTCGTTTTTGTGTTCTATCTCTCTCTCTCTCTGTCTCTCTCATGTCTCTCTCTCTCTCTCTGTCTCTCTCCTGCGGAACGCTTCTGGTGGAACAAATCCTATTTCTCCTCCTCCTCCTCCTCCTCCTCCTCCTTCTCCTCCTCCTCCTCCTGGTTGTTCTGGTTGTGAGAACCCCGAGGGGGGCGCTGGCCTGCTCTGGGCAAAGCAGGTCCTGGTGGTATGTCCTCCCCCCCCCCTAAGCGGCAGCGAGTGCTGTGCCCAGCCCCCCGCCGAGTGGCGTGGTTGCGCATGCGTCGGGGCGTCGGTCGGCTGCTCGACAAGTGCCCTCTGCTCGACCCGGTCCCCCGTGGGCACGCCATTTCGAGTGCGCGGGCCACTTTGGTGCCCCAAGGGGGAGCTGGCAGACCGCGCTGTCGATCGCCACGGCCTTCTGGGGGGGCCATTCAAAGTCTCGTCCCTGCCTGCTCCTCCACCGCGTACCACCCGCCACCACGCGGAAGGGGAGGGGGGGACGGAGGGGAAGGGAAGGAAGGAGGAAGGGAAGGATTGAGGAAGGGAGGAGGGAAAGGAAGGAGGACGGGAGGGAGGGAGGAAAGCAGGCCAATAATGCAGGCACACGTAGCACAGAGGGAGGTGGAGGAGAAGCGCCTCAACGCCAAATGGCGGTTGAGGCAAGGGGAGGAGGAGGAAAAGAGGGGAGGAGGAGGACCCAGAGACCAGACAGCTACGGACAGCGCCTCAAGTCAGTAGCGCTTCTCAGTAAGGTGTGGGGAGCTTGCCTATTATTCAAAATTCCAAGCCAGCAAAGCCAGCGAAAAGGGGACCCCCACAGCCCGGACACGCGAGCAAACAGCCCACACCCAGGCACGAAGGCGAACAAGCGACCCACGCCCTGGCACGAGCCCCAGCGACACAGGCCCACAACCCAGGAACGGTGGCAGGAGGAGCCGAAGGCAACAAGATCTGCCGCCACCTGCTGGCTTGCCACAGGGGTGCCCGGCGTGCTGAATCTCTCGGGTTTGGGTTCTTGGTTCCACTTCCAAAAGAACTCCCCCCTGGGGCTCCGGCCCGTCCCGCCGGCCACCCGGAACATCCTCCCCCAAGTGTTCCCCGAAGGGTTTCTGCAACGACTGGGGGACCACATGGCCCGATAGCTTCGCAGAGCTCTTGCCACAACGCACGGCCACATGGGCGATTCCAAAAGGTAGGGGTTGGCGATGATTCGCCGTAGGCGTCTTGAATAAACCCCAAGTGTACAGTTACGTGCAGCAGAGAGAGGGGGGAGGAGAAGCGCCTCAGCGCCAAATGGCGGTTGAGGTAAGCGGAGGAGGAGGAAAGGGGGAGGCGGAGGACCTGGATCCCAGACAGCTACGGATAGGTTCTCAAGGCAGTAGCGCTGCTGAAGAAGGGCGTAGGGGGTGAACTTGCTCAAAATACAAGTCCGTGTTGGGAGCAGCGCTACTCTGACCACCAAGTTGTATTGCATCAGCAATGCGCAGCAAAACCAGGCTTGCGAAAAGAAGACGCCCACAACCCCAGCACACACGAGCAAACAGCCCATACCCAAACACACAGGCGAACAAGCGACCAACGCTCAGGCACAAAAAATGGACCCACACCCAGCCACGCGGCCACAGAACCACGACCCAAGCACAGGCGAGAAGACCCCCCTCGGTCACTGCATGAGCCGCGACGCCACGACATGGTGGTCCAAGCGCGCCCACAGATCCACGCCCAGGCACAGCGGACCCACACCCAGGCACGGCAGAGGCAGGGGCAGGGGAGAGGGAAAGGGGGGCAGGGGGGGAGGAAAGAGGGGAGGGAGGGGGGCGCGGCGGAAGGAGGAACGGGGGGAGAGCAGGGGAGGGGGAGCGCCTCAACGCCAAACGGCGGTTGAGGCGACCGAGGGGGGGAGGGGAGTGACGAGGGAGCAAAGAAACATATTCTCGCCAAGTGTGGAGGGGCGGGGACGGACGAGGACGGGGAGGGGGGAGTGACGCGCCAGGTGGCGGTTGAGGCGGGGAGGGGGGGGGGAGGTGGAGGAGAGAGTCCGGGAGGGGGACGCCCTCAACGCCAAATGGCGGTTGAAGCAAGTGGAGGAAATGGAGCCCATGACCCTCCCCCCATCTTCCTCCACCACCACCCCCAACCACCCCCCCCTCTCCTTCTCCTCCTTCTCCTCCTCCTCCTCCTCCTCCTCCTCCTCCTCCTCCTCCTCCTCCTCCTCCTCCCCCTTCTCGCTTTCCCTGCTCCTCCTTCTCCTCCATCCTCCTCGCCCTCTCGTCATCCTCACCCCTCGGCTCTTCCCCGCTTCTCCTCCTCGTCTTCCCGAGTACGTGCCCTTCTCCTCTTGCTCCTCGCCCGCTCAGCGTCCCCTTCGAGCGCCGACAGCTGCCCCCTTCCGGCGGTTTCGAAAAGACAGCGGTGGCCCCCAGGGCGCCCACATCAGGCTGGAGGACCTCAAGGCGCCGCCGTCATCTGTGGGTGTGATACTCTGCCGCCATCATCCTGGAGTCCAGAAGGGAGTAATGAGGAGGAGGGGGAGGACGGCCAGAAAAAGAAGAATCATACGAATCAACATCATAAGGAAAGTAATAAGGATGATACTAAGACTGTTGATAGTAAACATGCTACTTGTAAGGAGAAGAGGGAGGACGTGACCGAATTGGGGGGCGGAGGAGGAGGAGGAGGAGGAGGAGGAGGAGGAGGAGGAGGAGGAGGAGGAGGAGGAGAAGATGAGATCGGACGACGACGAGGACAAGGAGGTAGGCAGAGGAGGCGGAGGAGGAGCAGCAGCGGGGGGAGGAGAGGAAGGTGGTGGACGGAAGGAGGAGCAGGAGGAGGAGGAGGAGGAGGAGGAGGAGGAGGAGGAGGAGGAGGAGCAGCAAGACGGCGAAGCTCGAGGAGGGCCAGGGCGGAGGTGGAGGCCGAGGGGCACGCAGAGGAGGAGCGGAAGAGGACGGAGAGCCTGGCGAAGATGAAGGGGGGGGGCGGGACGGAAGGGGCCGCTGCCGACCCCTGGGCCTGCCGTGCCGGAGCACGGGCACGGGCCCGAGGGGGCAGGGGCCGAAAAAGCCATCGTGGGCCTCGGCTTCGCGGGGCGGCGACGCCGGCGCAGGCGCGGAGGGCTGCATTCGGGAGCCTGAAGTCATCTTGGCATCGCTCGGACGTGCGCCTTTGTTCTCGGCGAGGACCGTCGAGGAGCATCTTTGATCATTTAGCGAAGATGCACGCACGAAATCGACGAATGCACGGGGATTGGCCGTCCGAGCGATGGCGAGTCATCGAGCGCGTTCCATGACTCGCAGAGTGCCTACTCGCAGACGTCCGAAGAGCACATGTCTGCTTCGATGCAATTTATCGTAGATCCGCCGCGGCGGATCACTTGGCGAGCAGTGGAGCGCGCTCGTCTATGAGGACGGATGTCAATGCAAACGGGGGTCGGCCAGAGCGCCCGATCTTGCAGGATCCTGCAGGGCCGGGGTCGCGCTGACCCGGGCCTGGGTGCAGGATGCCGCAGGATCTCGCAGGATTCTGCAGGACTCTGCAGAGCCTGACTGGCCCGGGCCAGAAGATCCCCCGATGAAGGCCCTCCGGGGGCCTTGTCTCGAGCCCCAGGGCCCGCAGGGGACCACTCGCGGCGCGGAAGGCACACGAAAACGGCGAGGCCGAGGCCCTCTCGTGACCTCCGAGTGCGGAGGCCGTGCGCGGTGGCACGGTTCACCCGGTGTCAGCCAAGGGCAGGAATATGTTGCATGGCTGAGTTTGGTGAGGGAAGTCTTGGTCGCCCGCGGGAGCGCCAACGGAGTCTCGCTCTGTGGCCCAGACCTCGCCCTTCTCCAGGGCGTCCGCGCGATGGCGGGGAGGTAATCGTGCGGCGCGAAGCGCGAAGCGCGTACGAAGGTCGGCGGGCGAGCATGGACAAGCTCGATGGAGTCGGGCTAGGGCTAGGTTCGGCTGGACGCAGGCATACTTGTACCATGTGTGTGTCGGTTCCGCACAGTGGCGACGCGCATGCTGAACCCTTTTGCAGCACGGTCAAGCCGCGTGAGTAGGGTGCGTAATTGTTCAAACAATTCCTTGCGTTCTAGCCTCCAGGCGCATCCTGGAGGAGGAGGAGGAGGAGGAGGAGGAGGAGGAGGAGGAGGAGAAGGCGGAGGAGGAGGAGGGGGGAAGAAGAAGGATGAGGAAGTAGGAGGAGGAGGAGGAGGAGAAGTAGGAGGAGGAGGAGGAGGAGGAGGAGGGGGGAAGAAGAAGGATGAGGAAGTAGGAGGAGGAGGAGGAGGAGGAGGAGGAGGAGGAGGAGGAGGAGGAGGAGGAGCAGGGGCCCTCTCGGCCCATCCTCTGGGCCCCTCTGGCCCCTGGTCCCCTCGGCCCATCTTGGCCCTCGGCCCGTCCTGGCCCTTGGCCCTCTCGGCCCATCGCGTTCTGGGCCCTCTCGGCCCCTCCTCTCCGTGTGGGCCGTGGCCTCCCGGCGTCGGCAGCTCCGCCCACCACGGTCATTTTGGCTCAAGACGGCACCCTGGCAGGACGGGCTTCCTCCGTGTCCTGGTCGAGCTGCCCGCCGACCTGAGACGCCGTTTTCTGCTCGGCCAGGCCCGAGCTCCCGCATTCTCATCGCACCGCCAGAGCCTGGAGCGCGCATTTTGCTGCAGCCATGCTCGCGCCTGCGCCGCCCCCGTCGGGGGTGGACGCCGAGGGCCGACGGATCCGCCAGAGGACGGGCGAGCCGCCAGCCGTGGAGCTGGACGACGAGCTGCCGGACGCCGAGGCGCCCCCCGCTGTGCCAGGCGGAGGCGGCCAGGCCCCTGCGGGAGGTGACGCCCGCGCTCCGCTGCCGCCGCCCCCGCAGGATCCCTCGCAGATGGCGCTCGCCCAGTATATCATCATATCAGTGACCACCAGCATGAGTGTGAAGGTGGACGCCGTCGAGGCCCAGTCTCGTCGCTGAGGACCACGGTGAACGCTAGCTCGGCCTCCATCTCTTCCACCCAGTCAGAGCAGCGGGCTCAGCGCGCGCGGCTCGACGCGCTGGAGGCGGCTTCAAGGGCCCCGTCGTCAAACGCCAGTACAGCCGCAGGCTTCGGTGCTCCTCTGCGTCCAGGTCTGGGAGCGGGACAAGCGTGCCAGGCCGACCCGTGGAGCGACTACCTGCGCAGGGCCCCTGGCGACCAGAATCAGTTCGGGGCTCCCCAGACTCCTCGTGGCGGAAAGAATACGAAGCATGTGGTCTTCGTGGCAGGTTCCCCAGGCACTTGGGACAAGGACGAGGTCGAGGCCCACCTGAGGTCGAAGTTGAGCGAACGGGCGACGCTCGAGTCACAAGGTATCACGGAAATCTACGGGGTAGGGCGTTTCTGTGATCAGGCAAAGGTGGTCTTTAGTTGCAATCGGCAAAGGTGGAATTTCATGAAGGCGTGGAAGGGTAGGAAGATACCGTGCCAAGGAGCCAAGAACGACCAGCTGTGGCACAAGGTGGACCAGGAGCCCCACGAGGTCGAGCTCTCGAGGCGAGTCTCCTACGCGGCGAGGCTGCTCAGAGAGTACGGGGAGGCCAAGAACCTCTGCAACGCGGACTCCAAGATGAAGACTTTCGACGGCGACTGGGACCGTGGCCAGGTAGTCTTCCGCCGCAACGGGAGTGAGAGGCCGATCAGGATCCTGCAGCGATCTCGCACTACGGACTTGATGGAGATCTGCTCCGAGCCGCTGGCCAAGGCTCTGTTGGACCAGGAGCTGGCAGAGTTCAAACTTCCAGAGCGGCTCGGAGAGATCAACGACCCTCCCAGGCCACAGTGATTCAAATCGAGGGGCCGCCGCTTCGCCAGGGACGTCAGGGACCTTGCAGTTCTTGGGTGGAATGTAAGAGGCGTCCGTGGAGCTAGGAGGCGGCAGCAGCTCCTCGATGACTTGCATGCAGAATTTGATGTACGTGTTATCCCTTTCCAAGAATGGTGCGTGGCTGGTGGGCCCGAGCAGCTCTTCGATGGTTATGTCGTTCATGTGTCGCCTCCAGCGGGGGCCTGGCAGAGATGCGCGATTGCGATCCACGAGTCTTTGGTTCCATCCATCGTGAGCCCCCCGAGTTTCCACGCTCGCACCATGTCCCTGGACTTACAGCTGCCTATCTGGGGACGTGTTCGGCTGATCACCAGCCATCAATTCTCGCATATCGTTCGTTGTGAATACGCTGAGACCATCGCGCAGCTTAGAGAGTGTCTGATTACAATGCCTGTAAATTGCCGCGCCATAGTTAGCGTTGACGCCCAGGATGGCCTGGGGATTGGAGACGGAGAGACGGTCGGCCAATGCTCGGCTACCAAAATGACTTGGCGGGGCGAAATGTTGTTCGAATTGATGACAGAATTCGACTTGGTTGCTGCCAGCACCTTCTCTCGAGGACAGTGGGGACAGGCTACGTGCTACTACGACAGCCGAAAGGAGCCAGGCCAGATAGACTTCATGCTGTGCCACCGCGATTGGCTCACCTCAGTGACGTGCCAGGCCCGCTTCACGGATGCCGAGCAGAGCGACCACCTCCCCTTGCTGCTACGCTGCCATGCGTCAAAGGCCAGCCCGACGATCACCGAACCCGAGAAGGCTCTCGAGGACGCTGACCTGATGGAACGGCCGCCGCGCAAGCCCGTTGCCTGGTAATTAGAGGATGCCCACTTATTCAATGAGACGGTACGCTCGACTCTGCGGATACCGTACTTCCCGACCGCGATGGATGGCTTCACCGAGGGCGACCTCGCGACCGCGCCGGGCATCTTCACGGACGGCTCGGCGCGGGGGCGACGGCGTGGAAAGCGCCAGGCCGCTAGCGCAGGCTGGGGCTTCGCCGTCTACCGCACCGCCATGCCGCGCGACCAAGACGAGCCGATGGTCGAGGCATGCGGCCCCGTGGTGACCAACCACCTGGACCCCCGCTTCTTGGGCGCCTGTGCCCTCACGGCGAACACGGGCGAGCTCTCGGCGATCGTGGAGGCGCTCCTGTGGCTGTTGGGTCAGCGCGGCTCCCTGGAGCCGACGACCCAGGACGGCGGGCTCATTCAGATCGTCACCGACTCGACGTGCGCCCAGGGGCTCCTCATGGAAGTTTTCCAGCCACGAGAGGACGCCCCCTTGGCGATCCTGGCTGTGCACCTGTGGAAACGGGCCGCCTCGCACTTTGATATGCACATCCGATGGGTCGAGGGCCGCAGCGGCAACCTCGGCAACGAGAAGGCGGACCTCTGGGCTAAACGGGGTGCGGACAAGCGCTTCGACACCGCCCATTGGAGACGGCCCTGCTGCCCATGATTGGGGAGCCGAAGAGTACCGACGACGAGTTAGTGAACATAAGCTGGCAGAGACTAGAGCACGCAAACGCCGCTGCTCCGAGACAGCCAGGGAGGATGGCGGCGAAACCTTGGCGCAGCTCTTCAACCCGCAGCCGCGTATGGCCGCATGCTCCAGACAAGGCGC